GTATCTGGAGTGGTCAGAGAAGGCTTCAAGGAGGATTGGGCATTTGACCTGTGACTTTAGTGACAGAGAGAAGGACATTCTAGGCAGAGGAAACAGCATGGGCAAAGGTGAACGATGTAGAGGCCAGAGAGAGGATGCAGGGTTGAGGGACTCAGACTTGCTTGGTGTTGTGGAAGGAAGCTTGAGGTATGACAAGCTAACAGAAGGAGGTGGTGTGATGGCTAGGTGAGCAAAGACAAGCCCCCGGAAGGCCTCAGATCCTTAGGTAGCAGGGACATGATCTTGGAGGCTGGGTTTTTCCAAAGTGTGTTCCCCATACACTCACCAACCGCCCCCACTGCCGTCAAGTCAATTCCAACTCATAGCAACACTATAGGACAGAGTAGAACTGCCCTATAGAGTTTCCAAGGCTGTAAATCTTTATGGAAGCAGACTGCACATCTTTCTCCTGTAGAGTGGCTGGTGGGTTCAACCACCAACCTCCTGGTTAGTAGCCGAGCACTTAACTGCACCACCAGTTCTTCCCCCCATACACCAGACCCATGGAATTTGCTCCTCAAAAAGAGGGATGGGATTCTGTACCCTCCACTTACAGACTGTTCCCATTACATGTTACTATTGTAAAGGCTCTACTAAAGCTAATAGTAACTGTCTGTGTCTGCAAGCAGCCAGGCACTGCTGTAAGCACTCTGCATGCATCACCATATTTGATCCATGTCACAACCCTCTGAACCAGGTACTGCTATACCCTTGCCATCGAGCTGAGTTGATTCTGACTCACAGTAACCCTATACGGCAGAGTAGAACTGCCCCATAACGTTTCCAAGGCTGTAATCTTTACAGAAGCAGACTGCCACATCTTTCTCTCACAGAGTGACTGGTGGGTTTGAACTACTGACCTTTCAGTTAGCAGCAGAGCACTTAACCACTGTGCCACCAGGGCTCCTTTGGTACTGTTATACTGTCTCCATTTTACAGATAAGAAAATTGGCTCAGAGAGGTTAAGAAATTTTCCCAAGGTCACACAGCTAGTAAGTGGTAGAGCTAGGATTTGAACTCATACATTCTGACTTTGAGAAGTCCTGAAGCAAAGAACCTGTTTAACATTGTTTCATCTAGCATTTCCCAAACTTGTTTTTAATTATGGAAAAAAATTGCATATAATATATAGTAACATTCTATGAGGAACACATTAAAGGATTCTGATCCAGGAGCCTTTTGATTTGATTTGCAAATATCCTTAATAAGCTCATTATCATTCAGTTACACCTTAGGGTGAATTTGTCCTTTCTTAACCAACCGATTGCAGTTAAGTTGATTCAGACTCACTGTGACCTCATGTGTGTCAGAATAGAACTGTGCTCCATAGAGTTTGTTCTTTTTTTTACATAGAACCCATTTCCAGAACCAATTTCTATTTTTAGGTAATTATTTCTGTGAAAAACATCAACTCAAAGTTTACTATTTATTTTTTATTGTACTTCAGGTGAAGGTTTACAGAACAAATAGTTTCTCCTGAAACAGTAGTACACATATTGTTTTATGACATTGGTTAACAACCCCACAACATGTCAACCCTCTCCTTTCTCGACCTTTTTTTTTGGTGAAAATATACATAGCCAAAGATACACCATTTCAAACATTTCTACATGCACAGTTCAGTGACCTCGACTACGCTCTTCCAATTGTGCTGCTATTCTCACTTTAGATGAAGGTTTACAGAGCAAAATAGTTTCTCATTAAACAGTTAGTACACATGTTGCCCTATGACAATGGTTAACAACCTCACAACACATCAACACTATCCTTACTCAACCTTGGGTTCCCTATCACCAGCCTTCCTGTCCCCTTCTGCCTTCTGGACCTTGTCCCTGGACTGCTGTGCCTCATTAGTCCCACTTGGTTTTATGGGGCTGTCCACTCCCTGGCTGAACGGTGAACCCCGGAAGTGACTTCACCACTGAGCTAAAAGGGTGTCTGGGGGCCATACTCTCAAGGTTTCTCCAGTCTCCCCTAGGCCAGCAAATCTGGTCGTTTTTTGTGAGTTAGAATTTTGTTCTACATCCTTCTCCAGCTCTGTCCAGAACCCTCTGTTGTGATCCCAGTCAGAGCAGTGAGTGGTGGTAGCCGGGCACCATCTAGCTGTACTGGACTCAGTCTGGTGGAGGCCTTGGTAGCTGTGGTTCCGTAGAGTTTTTAATGGCTGATTTTCTGGAAGTAGGTCGCCAGACATTTCTTTTGAACTGCCTCTGGGTGGACTTGAACCTCCAACCTTTCGGTTAGCAGCCAAGCGTGTTAATTGTTTGCACCACCCAGGGACTGCAGTCCTTTCTTGGATCCCCTCAATTCTCTTATAAGCTCCCTGAGAGAAGGCACTGTGTCTGAGTCACCGCTGTGCCCTTCAAGATACCTAGGAGGGGTGCCACTGGATGGGTGCTCCCAGAATGCATGCTTGAATGAGTGGAGTGATTCCTCTGTTGAAGACAGTGGGAGCAGTGGAAAGGGAGAGGCAGACGGTGGTAGGGTGGGTGTGGGGAGAAAGGAACAGGCAGTTGGGGAGGGGCACCCTGAGAATCAGAGTCTCAGAGCCAGAGTAGAAAGCAAAACTCACCTACTTCCTGGCAAAGTCGAAGGCCAATACTGGACCTTGTTCTAAATGCAACATCCAAATATCTACTCTGTTTTCTCTTCCAGACAGTAACTGAACCACTTGCTTAACTGGAAAATGAGACATTTGTTGGAATTGAAGGTATATCAGGAAACTCTTGATTTTAGAGTCAAAATTGGCAGGGAAAATCAGACTTTTGTTTGCCCCCCTCCCCCAGGAGCTGCTGAGCCTGGCAAAGAAGAAGGGCTTCAGAAGGCTGGTTTGCTAAACTGAAGGGTCCTTAGAAAGCACCTAGCCCATTTCTCTTATTCTAAAAAGGGTAAGACTGAGGCCAGAGACGGGAGGGACTTTGCCAAGGTCTCAGAGCTGGTTAAGTGGGGACCAGAATCTAAGTCTCTTCCCAGTCGGGAGCTTTGTCCATGGGTTCAGGGCCTGTACCCTAGTCCTCCCCTCTAACCCACCCCCATGGCTTCCTGCCCTGCCTCCTCCATTCTCCCCACCCCTGCCCATGGGTGTCAGGAGGAGGCAGCCCCTGTGCGTGCCTCACCCCATTACATCCCGCTGCTACCCCAGCTGTGCTCCCTGCTGCCGCCTGACTGCCCCTAATGAGATTACGATTCCTGGTGAAATAGACGAGGGTTAATTCCTTCTAGCTTTAAAGGGCAGGCTAGGCCCCAAGAAATAGCAAACAGAAAACCTTTCACCAAAAAGGCGAAGTGTGATGATGATGCTAACACCCTTCCCCGCCTCAGTGTATTACAGTCCACCACTGCTTTCACAAATATTCCCTGCGAGGGGTTCTGCACCAGCCCTAATGAAGTAGATGCTATTTTTATCTATTTTACACAAGGGGACACTGAGGCACAGTGAGATTCAATGGCTTGTTCAAGGTCACACAGCTAGTAAGTGGCAGAGCTTTGACATGGTGCCAGTCTCTTGGGTTCTGTCATCTTTAAAAATAATAGGCCCCAAGGACCTACAGGGTGCCCAGGGCTTTAGGCCTAAAAACAGCCCTGAAGAATACATCTCATTATCCCTGTTTCATGGTGGTGGTTAAGAGCTTGGCTGCTAACCAAAAGATTGGCAGTTCGAATCCACCAGCTGCTTCTTGGACACCCTATGGAGCACTTCTACTCTGTTCGACACCCTATGGGGCAGTTCTACTCTGTTCCGTAGGGTCGCTATGGTTCGGAATTGACTCAACAACAACAGGATTTTTTGGGGGCAGAGCCCAAGTTTGAACACAGGTCCACTGAACTCAAATCCTACATTTCCCACTGTCTTAGTTATTTAGTGCTGCTGTAACAGAAATACCACAAGTCGATGGCTTGAGCAAAAAGAAGTTTATTCTCCCAGTCCAGTAGGCTAGAAGTCCAAATTCAGGGTGTCAGCTCTAGAGGAAGGCTTTCTCTGTCAACCTTCTCATCAATCTTCCCCCAAACTAGGAGCTTCTCCATGCAGGAACCTCGGGTCCATAGGACGCGCTCTGCTCCTGGCACTGCTTTCTTGGTGGTATGAGGTCCCCCACTCTCTGCTTGCTTCCCTTTCCTTTTATCTCTTGTGAGATAAAAGGTGGTATGGGCCACACCCCAGGGAAACTCCCTTTATGTTGGATCAGGGATGTGACCTTAGTAAGGGTGTTACAATCCCACCCTAATCCTCTTTAACATAAAATTACAACCACAAAATGAAGGATAACCACAAAATACTGGGAATCATGGCCCAGCCAAATTGATACACACATTTTGGGGGGACATAATTCAATCCATGACACCCATGATACTGCTAAATGTGCTTGAACCCATCCATTTGCTCATGTGGTAGAAACCAAACCAACGTAGGCCTGAATTTCACTCTGCCACTTCCTAGTTCTATGACCATGGCCCAGGAATTCTGGCCCCCGGAGTCTCAGTCCTTTCAGTAAAATGAAGGTGGGAATCTGAGGGTTGTTAGGATGAATCCCTATGATTAGCATAGGTAAAGCAACTGTAATAGGCCTGGCACACAGCATGTGCTCATCACTCAACTTCTCTATGCCTCACTTTCCTCATCTGTAAAATGGTGATACTTCTTGGGGTTGGTGTTAGGATTAAATGTGCTAATACAAGTAATATGCTTCTAGAATGGCACCCGGTGCACAGTAAATGCTTCATTAATGTCATCAATTACTACTATTTTATTGCCTTCAATGCTTTCTGGAATGAAGTGGAGGTAAAAATCAAACCAACCAGCCAGATGGTCCTCTCTCTCCTCCCACTACTTCCTGGTCCCCACCCCTGCTTAAAAGGAGCACTTGGCTTTGAAGTCTGAACCCCTGAACCACGTGGCCTGCTCTAATTTCCCAGGCCTTAATCTCCTCCCAGCTCCTAATGATGCAGCTGGTAATAGGATTGTGGCCTCCGTCTGGGGCGGCCATACAGGCCATGGCCGTGGGGTGGGCAACTGGTCCTTAGTGATCCTGACCACCTGCCTGCTGAGCAGACAGAGCCCCCGGCTGTGCCTGTGTTCTCGGCTGGCCTCATGCACATGGAATGGTGCTGTGCCCCGTGCCAGCAGGCTGGGCTCACCATGTTGCCAGGTGCCATCCTGGCGCGAGGGAGAGATGTGTGCCGGCGGAACGGACTGCTCATCCTGTCTGTGCTGTCTGTGATCGTAGGCTGCCTCCTTGGCTTTTTCTTGAGAACTCGACGCCTCTCGCCACAGGTCAGCCACTTGGGACATTGCAGGGTCCCATCTGGGAGGGGTGTGCCTGCCTGAGGGATCTGGGGTCACATTCCAGCTCCACAGTTCACTGACAATGTGACACTGGGCAAGTCACTTTGCCTCTCTGGGTCTCAGCTTCCTCCTCTATAACATGGGTGTGATAAAAACCTTGCAGAACTAGAATGAGAGTCCACTGAAATGGCTGGAGCCGTGGTTATGAGCCTGAGTCATGCCCAGGTTAACGGGAGGCAAGGATGCTGCATTACAATAACTGCCATGCTGAGAACTGTGGTGGAGGGAAGGCTTCCCAAAGGAAGCTCATAGGAATAGAGATCCAGGAAAACATAGAAGGAAGAGCATTCTAGGAGAGGTAATGGCAGGAGCAAAGGCACAGGGCAGGTGTGACTTTGGGGCATGTGGAGCAAGCTAGTCATGTGAGGCAGGGGCCGGAGCGCAGGGTCCAGCTGGTCTCTAGGTCCCATCACCAAACTAAGACTTGGGGCGACCATGAGAAACTTTTCAGCAGAGGAATGATATGGTCAGATCCGAGCTTTGGAAAGATCCCTCTGGTGCCAAGTGGAAGGTGGGGTGTGGGCGAGGCAGGGGGCTGAGTGAGGAGGCAGCTGCAGGGGTGAGAGGTATGATGGTGGGGATGAAAGGGACAGATGTGAGAACTCTTCCCAAAGAGGAGCCTTCAGGATGTGGTGGCAGATTGGATGTAGCGTTGGGGGCAGGGGGCAAGGCAGGTCCCCAGATTTCTGGTTCGGGTAGCTGTAAGGGTGAAGGTGCCTTGCCCAGGGAAGGGCCTCTTTCTCTCTCAGCCCTCACTCCCCAAGGGAGAGGTAGGAACACTCAAATGCGCTCCTGGAAGATTCCCTATTCCAGAAAATTCCTCTTCCTGTAGCTCACTGATGTCCAAAACTATCTCCACAACAGGGGCTCGAGGCATCAGAGTTGGTCTTCTATTAAAAGGCAAATACCCCCTCCCTGGTAACTGAGCCCACTATTACTACAATTACTACACCGTTAAACCGCTAGTCGTTATTTACGGAGGAGCATGGACTCTGGAGGTTTGCGTTCAACTGCTTACTGAAAGGTTAGCAGTTTAAACCCACCCAGCAGCACCACAGAAGCAAGCCTGCTTCTGTAAAGATTACAGCCAAGAAAACCCTATGGAACAGTTCTACTCTGTAACATGTGGGGTTGCCATGAGTTGGAATCAACTTGACAGCAACAGGGTTTTTTTTTTTATGGACTTTGGGGGAAATTTGACTCTGCTGGTAAATGGCTGTGTGGCCCTGGGCAAAATCATAGCTCTTCTTTGGGCATCAGTTTCCTTATTTGTAAAATGGAGAGGATGGAAGTGTCTATTAAAATTATTATGAGGGTTGACATTGTCATAGGGCAACACTTGTACTGACTGTTTAATGAGAAACTATTTTGTCCTGTAAGCCTTCATCTAAAGTGAGAATAGCAGCGCAACTGGAAGAGTGTAGTCGATGTCACTGAACTGTGCATGTAGAAATTTTTGAAATGGTGTATCTTTGGCTATGTAAATTTTCACCAAAAAAAAAAAAGGTCGAGAAGGGAGAGGGTTGACATGTCGTGGGGTTGTTAACGAGTGTCATAAAACAATATGTGTACTGACTGTTTAATGAGAAACTATTTGTCCTGTGAACTTTCACCTAAAGTACAATAAAAAAAAAGGAAAAAAATTATTATGAGGGTTAAACAAAGCCTGCAAAGGATTCATCAATGCCTAGTGTACAGTAGGTGCTTAGTGAATGTTACTTCAACCCTCCCTCCCTTATCTACCTGTCGATGTCCTATCTAAATCAAGAACCATCTCATATTTTGTATCTTATAAAAAGTCTTCCAGACCTGCCCGCATCTGAAATAATACTCTCTTCCCATGCTAATTCTCCATTGTAACATAGCTACTGGCTGCCTTGCTTCAGATCTGTTTATGTAGGTGTCTATTTCTCCCAGGAGATTCTGACTTTCTGAATATCATGTGGGCTTTCCTGAATGAAAATGTGAGCTTAGCTCAGTACTAGGCACAAAAAGACCCCTCAGCTAGTTGATGAATTAAATTGGCAATGACCCAAACAATCTGTTCTCTTTAATTTTCCTCAGTGACAAAAATATATTTCCTGCAGGGAGATTATTTTGTGAAAACAAATCGGAATGCCTATTACTAAAAGCTAAACTCATCTGGGACCTCCTTTGCCAAAGTTACCTTCCCCATCTGTCTAGTAATGCAAATGTATTCCAGTCTGGATTAACCTGCCGGATAAATTGAAGGAAGGATGTAGAGTCCTAGAACAATTACTTGGCGAGAATTGGCTTTCTCAGCATCTTACTTTGAAATCCAGGATTTCTCTGTTTGATCTCTTTGCCTGTGACTCAGAAACCAAACCCTTCTTATTTGTAAACTTATGCAACAAGCAAAAATCATCATCAATTTGGGTAATGGCCAAATGTCCTATCTTTAAAAAGAACTTAGAGAATCACAAGGCTTTATCTTTGGATATGAGTATCTCGTTTAAAAATACAGACCATTTTAAGACTTCCAGTTAAGCCATGGTGGATTGCAACTGCATTCATTTTCCTTTCCTTCCTGGAGTTCTACTAAAATTAGAATAAACGAATGTTTCAAAGATATAAATCCCCAAGAACAAAGAGAATAAAAAAGGAGACAACAGAAGTTGAGATACTACAACAAATTTAGGCAAGATGGGAAGTGGATGGAATAGAAGCATCTGATTTAGTAGAGCAGGGGAAACTAAAAACTTGAGTTTGTAGAGGTAGATACCAAGTTGGTTTGTCTCAGAGAACTTCAGAAGGGCTCTGGACTTGAGTGCAAGGTGTTGTAGGAGGCAGGTGGCGAGGCACGGGGTTGAAATCAGGGACACTGGTTGGAATTTTGTAACCGAAGCAGTTAGACCCCTAGGTCCCTTGCAGTTCATGTAGTCAGGAAACTCTTCATCCACCCATCTCTATTTCCCTACCTGCCTCAAGGAACCAGAAAGGCTTGACTTAGAGATATTAGGCCCATCTCAGCTACACTGAAAAGTTGATGGTTCAAACCTACCCAGTGGTGCCATGGAAGAAAGGCCTGGAGATCTGCTTCTGTAAAGATTACAGCCAGGAAAACCCTATGGAGCAGTTCTATTCTGTAACACATGAAATTAGCATGAGCTGAATCGACAGCAATGAGTTTGACGTGTGTGTTGGAAAGGGGGGCAGTGGTGAGGCACCGGCTTCAGGCAAATTAGGGGGCATCTGCATTCTGAATGTGGGATTCCCAGCACAGCTTCAAAGATTGCTGTCAGCTGGGCCCAGGCATAGCCCCACCAACCTCCCATTCCCTCCCCTAAGAGACTTCTTTCATTGAAGCTTCAGAGAAAAGATCTCCAGATTCTCTTATAAAGGGGATTCCATTCCTGCCCCACACCCAGTGAAAAGCCAGACCACCACCCATCACCTTGCCCTGAGGGCACCTGTTAACAAGCCCCGCTCATGCATACAGAAGCTTAAAAACCCATTGCGTTGAGTTGATTTCCATGGTGACCCTATAGGACACAGTAGAACTGCCCCATAGAATTTCCAAGGAGCAGGAGGTGGACTCGAACTGCTGACCTTTTGGTTAGCAGCTGAGTTCTTAACCACTGCGCCACCAGGGCTCCATATAGAAGCTTAGTGCCTATCACATTTACAGATGAGCAGAAAGCCAAGGTCACCAGAAATAATTTGAAGAAAGCTTCTAACATGAAAGACAGAGATTAAACAAACAGAAAAAAAGAATCTCTGATGAAGCAGAGATAACATAGGGAGTAGAAGAAAACTTCTAAAAATCTTAAGATCTTTAGAGATACGAGAGAAGATGTAGCAACATAAAACAGAGCAGGATGCTAAAAAAAAAAAAAAAGTTACAATCCAAGAACAAGAAAGAACTCTTGGAAATTAAAAATACAAGAGCCAACCTAAAAATTTCAATAGCTGGAATAAAAATAAATCTCCCAGAAAGTAAGACAAAAAAAAGATGAAAATAAAAGAGAAAAATATAATAAAACTAGAATATCTAACATGCAACTTACCTAATAAGAATTTTAGAATTAACAGGGAAAAAAAGAGAGAAACATTTCACAGAGAATACAAGAAAGTTTCCCAGAAATGACAGGTAGTCACAGAATTATGAATTTAAAAGGAAAAAAAATCATGGCACATCATTCTGAAATTACAGAAAACTGGAGCTAAACAGATGATTCTTAAATGTTTCTGAGGTAATAAAATGTGTCTTATGGAAATAAGAATGGCTTCAAACAACTTAAGCAACACTAGAGGAATGCTTTCAAAATTTGGAGAAATGATTTTCGGCTAAGAATCTTTTATATGACCAGATGATGAATCAGAGGTAAAGTAGAATAAAGGCATTTTTACTCATGTAAAGACTCAGAAAAATTTCTCTCCTGCCAACGTTTACTCATGAGGACACCAAACGAGATGTTCCAGCAAAACAAGGATGACAATGAAGAAAAGACCGATGACAACCACCGGGCCTGGAGAGCTACCTGCCCAAGGAAGATGGAAAGCTCTTGCAGTGAGGTCCCAGAAGTGATGAAAATGAACTGATGTACTTGAGTACATGGAAAATACTATTGATAGGTATTTTGATACAGATGTTAAAGCATTTGGAAGAAGTTAATGAGTGGTTCATAGAAAACAAAGCATACGGAAAACCTGGCAATTATTAACTTCAGGAAAAAAAATGAAGGTTTGTACAAGAAAGAATGCATGGTTGTAGTATACCACTTAGCTTAACTGTGAACAAAATTGAATAAACAAAATAGTACAAACCTTGAATACTGATTTAACCAAAAACTGACATAAATATAATGGGGAAATGCGAGGAGGAGAAAGGAAAGGAGGAACTAAGTCCTTACCTACTGTCTTAGTCATCTAGTGCTGCTATAACAGAAATACCACAAGTGGATGTC